TTCCTGCTGCACTGTGATGCCCATCTGGGCCATGTGTTTGATGAGAGTCCCACACCTTCAGGGCAGAGGTTCTGTATCAACAGTGTTTCATTAAACTTCAAACCAGGCTCTGGTCAGTGAGAAGTGGATCTCTGTGGGTTACAGAACATCCTTTCACTGCTCATGCAACAGGCCTGTGAAAAACTCTCACACTTTTAATACAGAACTCAAATTCTGGTACTTAGGTCATTGCAGCTTTGCTTTCCAGCTATTATCTGTGTTGATAAAATACATATTTTTGTGGTAAATCTTTGGCAGTCTGCCTTTTCATGGTTAGTATGATGTAAGTGTTGATCTGTTTATTGCATTTTCTTAACAAAAAAAAAAATCTATGCAATAGTTCACATTCATAACTATCATCATTAACTGCACTGAGGCTGCAGAAATTAAGTGCCCTCCTGAACCTGACTTTGCCTATGCGGAGCAGTAGTTGTGGCACCCAGGAATACAGACATACATGGCTGATCATGCCAGAGATTTTACTTCTATAAAATCATAGTATTCTTCTAAAGGGAAGCAAAAATAACATGAATCTCCAAATAATATTTGAGGGATTTTTTTCCCCCTGATATGAGAGACCTTTATCCGAGCCAAGTGACTTCTCCACGAACCCATAAAATCAAATTCGTGAAGGAGGGCCTAATTAAAACTACTCCATGCAATGAAATCAGTGGAAACACGAAGTCTTTCTTCTTTTGAATCAATGACTTTGATTCTGTGTCTAATAGCAGAGCTGAAGTAGGGTTTGCTCCAGGAACTTCCTCTTACAGAAATAATATGATAATAATGTAACAGTCTGTGTAATATCTCCAGACTTCTGTTACCACTCGTGTATTTCAGAATCTGAAAATAAAAATGAATGTGAAGTTTACTGTATTTGGAGGGAAAAAATCAGCATCAAAAAATACGTTCAGTAAAGTGATGCTTTTGTTGAAAACATGCCTTGCCTGTTCTTCCTTGTACAAGTTTGTAAATACTTCTGTATTCTCCCAAGCACTGTCACTATGGTTTGCTGTAACAGGAAAACAAATCGTATGTTTGTTAAATTGAGCTTTCCTGCTTTCAGATTTTTTTCCAGATAAAATAACCTCTGAGTCAGAACATCAGCTCCCCTAAACTGGCTGGGTTTAAATGCTTCCCTGCTGAGAGTTACTAGGCAACATCTCACTTGGCTTTACCTATAACAGGCTGTTTCCATTCTCCCCACTTTGGTTGCCTGAGTAATAAAAAGGGTGTGTTCATTTACATAGACTAGTGTAGTCTTAAAACTGTTTAATATCTTCAGAAAGCTCTACTGCACTGAATTTACTTTTGCTTCTTCTGTCTTGGAGCTCTGCAGTTTTCCATTCTCCTATACATGCTACAGGAGAACTCCACAATTTCACAACTTGTAAAAACATCATAGGAAGACAGTGATCACTACAGCCAACCTAAACCAGAATGGCACAAAGGCCACCAGAGGTGTGAAGCAGCATGAATGAAGCAGACACTTGCTGCTACTGGGTTTATGTAGTGTCATAGATGGTGACGGTCACACTGTCATCAGAGGGGTCTGTTAACAGCAGCAGCACGCTGCTTGCTGTGTCCGTGCTGCATCATGCTCTGCCGTGCAGAGATGCCCTTGCATCACCTATTGCTATCACCTCCCTGCTCTCACCAGGAGGTATGTGCCCAGTCTGCTCTCAAGAGTCTTCACAGGTTTTACAGAAATCACCATCCTCACATGCTCTGAATTCATGTACCTTCCATCCTGATATAATTTCATTCACTAGTTGTTTGTTTGGGTTTTTTTCCCCCTTAAAATCTATTGCACAGCTACTGGAAAGGGGGTTTGGCTCTTACAGGCATTCTTCAGTTGGGCAGCCCCCTTCCCTCTCCCCACTTTTCACATGAGGAAAGGGTTGTCTCAGAAAGGAATGTGACAAGAAAGTGTCTCCAGCTGGACTCCTGCATTCAGCCAGGGGATGGTGGAGAAGACAGCACCTGCCTGAGTAGAGTGACTTTTGGCTATGATACCAAATTGAAATGCTCCTCATTTCTGCAAATGGCAGAAAGTAGGAAAAGAACTGGCAAAATACCTGTTCCGACAGATACCAGGTCTCACTGACACCTTCTGCAGGTGAGACTGAATGCCATACAAACAAAATAGACCATGGCACTGAAAAAACAAGTATCCACCTACCACCTTGTGTGCAAACCACGCTCAGTTTAGTACCTTGGATGTACACGGTCGGTGGAGACCAACTCTTAGTGAACTGGCAAGTTAGCAACCATAACCGACAGAGGAAGCTTGTCCGAGCAGAGACCGCATTTATTTTATACCTATAAAGATCACTGGATGCAACTGGATGTCTGGGCTAAGCAGCAGATGGTGCCTTCTCACTCATACAGCAGGATGACCTGAGGAAAGAGTCCAGTAGCTAAACCAGTCCGGTTTAGCTCGTGCAGAGTTAATTGCAGATACGTAAATATATGAGCAGACCCATATCTTCAAGGAGAGCACCTGACCTGCGCTACACTGATACGTCACCAAACAAACAGCATAAAGCACAACTCCACTGCCCCAGAGAAACCAGACACTGAGCTAAGCAACCTTGTTCTGCTTATTCAAATGAAAACAAGGAAAAGAGGATGGTTTGGCTTTCACCACGTGTGTAAATCAGAGTAATGGCACATCACCTTTCAGTGTGGCTGTGTATCCCGCAGTCTGGAGTAGCTGTACTGACGTACTGGAAAATCCCGCCCCTCACACTTCACTGTAACACTGAAAATGTTTAGATGTCTGTATGTACCTCTGTGTGTCTATCAGTAGAGGAACAAGGAAATAATTTTGCTCTGTAAGCAAGTAACCAATTTGGAATAAAATCCAAAATCAACAGAAGCCCTCTTATCACTCCCAACCCTCCCTATTGCAGGCAGTACACACCTCTTCTAATAAAACACAGCCAATGCTGCAGGATCGAGCAGAGGAAAATGGAGGTAGTAGTTAAGGGAGAAATGACTGGAGGGAATAGGTATGAACTTCTTGAATTAGCTCTTCTGATGCTTTTTTGACAGTGTCTGACTCTTACATCCTCTGCTGTATTAGTGGCTGGAACTGGTGCACAACAATTTCAAGTACTGTGGTGGGGATAAGGCAGGGGTTTCTTAACCGATCCGTCTTCTTACTACATTATCACTTGTGAAAAATGATACAGATCAAATAGGTTACTCCTCAGTAGTCCTTTACAGAATGGCAAATTTGATAACCTTGTTTTCTATTATTTGTCTTACAGTACAAGATGGGGGTAAAGGACCATGTTCGTTCAGGTACAAGATAATTATCTCCTGAGCAGAGCATTATTATTAGGTTAACAATTAATTTTGAGGATGCGCCAAGATCTGCATATATAAAACTGCAAGGTGTGTCTTGGTTTTACCATTCTCTCTGCTGGCTTTTTATTCTCTACATAATCAGCTCAAACTTCTATTTTTCACTTTTAAGATCTATCATAACAGGGTCCCACCTTGTGTTTTGTCACATACATGCTGATGGTCCCGGCCTGTGCTCTGCCAGTAATGTCTGCCTTTCTAAATTTAAGGTCAAGGTTTCTTCAAACACGTGTGCTTTATCTTGGGCTGCCAAAACCAGAGGAGATACACTGAAAACTCGGCAAGGCCACTTAGTTATCCTGCCTCTTCCTGGCCTCCCTGAAATTTGCATCTCAGTGTGCATATAGAGCACATCTAAGCAACTGGTGTACTCTGACAGCTGGGATTACACCAGCTGTCATGATGCCACTGTTACCTTGTGCTTCATGCATCTTCCAAGCAAATCCATGTGACATTTCTCGTCATGTATTTGAGCTTATCTCCCACGATGATGCATTTACACAAACTAATTTTATGTCTATAAACAGCACTGTTGGCCTTTACGGTCTCATCCTGAGGTGATGTAAACTGCTGGACATTTAGGACCTCTGACCATAAGCTCTTTGGGACGAGGAACTTCATTGTCTTCTGTGTCTGTGGCACCAACAACACCAGGACAGATCTCAGCTAAAGACCCAACGTGTTATAAGATCATGAATAATAAAACCAATAATAATGGAAGACATTATTAAAGAGTATCATAAACTACAAGAATTTCCTCATGTGTCTGCACTGACTTTGTTCCACCGTAGTGAATAAAGAGCAGTTTCTTCTCTGAGCTGAATGTACTCTGCCAGGCAACTGCAGATCTATGTTCCATCCTGCACATCTGAAAAGTTTTTCAACATTGTTATTTCATTAATTGTTTCAATGATGACTTTTTTTAACCCATTGTGTTTTTAAATAACCTTTTTAAAAATCCTAATTGAGGTTTCTACATAATTTTGAAGAGATGTTAAATAATCTGTTTCAAGACTTTCTTAGTCTTTGCATCATCTCTACAAGGCAAGTAATTATTCTCCATTTTACTGAGGGAAGACTTGATAAGAAGAATTTAATTGACTGGCTCAAGATTACAAATTGAATTTGCGGCCAAGCCAGAATTAGACTCTGCATGGCTCCTAACAGCATCCAGATCTTCAGATTCCGATTTTTCTACAACTTGTTTTGGTACTTCATTGTTTGAGAGCATGATTTATTGAAAGAGAGGAGGTTAAATTAGCATATGTTTTTCCAGTTATGGTGTTAAAACAAAAGCTAGGACAAGGAGGGCAACTTTGGCACATGAAGAGCAATAGTTGACCTCTTTCTCAGAGCAAAGGTGGCACAGGCTTGGTTAGGAAATAGGCAGCTGTATTCTCTGGCTGTGCTGCGTATTGTCATACAGTCTAAAATGAACTGATGTTCTTCGTTCCATGACAGCTTTAGGTAGAAATGAGGCAAGGCAGCTTGCTAACGGTAACTTCTTTGCTTGGAAGGCAGCATTGCTTTTTTGTGAGCACAGAGAGAAGAGAGGAAAGAAGGAGCAGGTTACTCTTATATTACTAGAAGCTTCACCCTCCTTTCACCAGAAATTGTAATGCCCAGTATTTTAGCCATGTATCCACAGAACTGTAGTGATGCTCTTTTCTGTTGCACCACGCTGCAAATCATTTGGATTCT